TACAATGTAACAAATAGGGATATGTTCCAAGACCTCGGCTGTACTGACCCCAACCCATTTCTACTACTTTTACAAGACAATTTTGGTACTCATCAACAGCAGAGAGGGGTAGGAGATAAGCTAGTGGGACGCTTAGAAGCCATAAAGGGAATGGCAACTACAGAAACACGCGTCGCAGACAACGAGTGAGGAACACAGATCCACACAGGAGACTATATTTTGGTGCACACATCACTCCCACAATGCACCACACAAAGCAGCTGACTGTGGGCTTCCACCACACTGTTCAGAGTGAATTTACCTTGTGTATAATGAATTTTTGGTATAAAAAGGGTCATCACATAAGAGCAAATTTGCACATACAGAGCCTGGATAAAGTGAGGGAAACCTGTACCCTTCCATCTCCCTGTAGACAAAAACAGTAAGATTAGGCAGCAAAATCATCATGGAAAAAGGGACCCTGCTTATATTAAAGTCAGAAAGGGCTGCATGATCCTAAACAGAAAAAGGGTAGTGACATCTTGAGGAGGAGGAGACTCAACTTCAAGAAAAACAGAACATGTTATGTAACAGGCGGAGAGAGACCATAGACTGAATCGCACATCCTTAGACTTTCACACAATCTTGCCATTAAAAGTGGTTCATAAGGTATAAGACTGCTAAACAAACTACCCATAGGAAAAAATGCTATCTATTATATTTCAAACAAATGGAATGTTTCCAATGACAGTGGTTTAATTTCCAGCTGTTTAGTACAGCATCCATTTTCAGATTTCTGGCAGACCCTTCTTGATAATTGTAGTATAAAACATCCATACTGAAAAGCACAACGTTTTGAAGTTACCTGCTGTTTTAGCTGGGCTTCCTGCTGCTTCATCTGCTCACATTTATGCCTGGACTCAGTAGCTTCTTTTAAAAGCTGAAAAGTTAAGGAAAACTTGAAATGTATTATTGTTGAATATATTCACATGCAAATTTTTAAGGACAGCATTGTTTAGTATAGCTTAGCATAAAAAAAAGTGATTTACCATGAAAAAAAAACATGCTCTTAGCTACTTTTGCTTTAAATACTTAAAAAAAGTTAAACAACAAAAATTGATGGCCTGAATTATGCCAGCTTACTAGAGCAATTTAAGAGCAGTTGAGTTTTCCTACCCACTCCAAATTAATATTTTAGATGCCCACAGTAGCATATTGCAATTATTTATTATTGCATTTCGTCTGTGGAAAAATCTCATATAATAGGTATAAAATGCAGTCAAAAATTGAACTTTGCTAATAAACTTGAATGTTAACAACATCCAAATAGGCAAAAACTTGAGAAGCATGCATGCCCAACTGCCAAAAAAAATGTACATCTTACTTTCTCCCCTCACTGAGGCTTATATACAGAGATTGAATTGGCCATTTTCAATAATGGTCTCAAAAGGTATCCCAGCAGCAGTAGTAATTGCTATGTGCAAAATGCTAGCCTGACATCAATGCACTCTCTCTATTTAAAGTAGCCAAGTTTGTCAGCTTGCACAAAAATTTAGCCAAGTTCTCTAAAACTCTAGTCTCCATTTCACTTAAAAAGTAGGAATTACCAGCACTATCTTACGTTTTTGGAAAACTGGAAGATTTGGTCTTATAGAACATTCAGTAGATCAAAGGGAAAAAGCTCTTCTGTACACCACCACCATCAGCTTAAATACTATAAAAAAAAAAATCTACAGTGATTCCACAAGAGCTTCAAAAGAGCTACATATCCTGTTTTTAGTGTTCTGTCTTCTAAAATTATAGGACGTGCTTAGAAGGGATTTTAAAAAGGCCTTAATTTTTTTTTTGGTCCCCACCAAGAAAAAAAAAAGTCACACAACAGCACTTGTTTTCCTGAAATCACCATATTTACTTGCCTAACTTCTTTTTTTTTTTGAAAGAGAATGTGGGGAAAAAAGAT